AAAACACTTTTTTTGTAAAAGTGAAATAATGAAGTTTATCTCAAAAAGCTTCAACTGTATACGGAAAACAACACATAATTCTCAGTTTTCTTTGTCCTCTAAAATGACAAAAAAATTTGATTTCCAGGGGTGGAGACATGTGCGGTATATTTGAAGAAACCGAATCCACTCTTAAAACTTTTTTGAGAGAGCGAAAGGATTTCTTTTTTAACGAGTTGCACGATTTCAAAAGCTCTGCTATAATGTTGAGCACCGATGATAATAGCACAGATGAAAGCGAAACGCGTGTAAGACTTTTGAACTTTTAGTATCTCGTGTATAACAAAGAATCGTGTTAAAACTATTGGTAGTGTCGATGAACAAATGCCTCCATTCCCTTACTGATCTCAAAAATCAACAATAATTCCTTTGAAGAAATTTCCTCTTCTAGCTTCCATCATCATCCTGTTTAGATGGGGACGACTAAATCTTAATCTGAAGCACTTTCGAATACTTCTCCTAAACGTGTAAAGTAAAGAAAATGGTAGGACTTTGAGAGATTTATTTTTTTTACAGAAACAAAGCTGAAGAATTACGTTTTTCTAGCATCTCGACAAACAAAAGGAAACTTACCTTTAATTACGTTCTTGTAAAAAAAAATAAAAACCTCTATTCCACGAGTGCTCTTCGGTCCTGTTTTTGGCAAGAACCAATCATCTTACAAAATAAACTTAGAGACTTTACCAAAATAAATGGAATTTTTTTGAAAGAAAAAATTTAAAGCTAGGACTTGACCATCTCCAATTTCTCTCAACATTCAAATTTCTGTCTTTTCTAACCTAGTTCAGTGTTCTAAAAACTTAACTTTGCTTAGAGAACTTTGTACAGGCCAAACAAAGTGAATCCTTTATTTGAACGTTTAGAAGCCCAGCGGCTGCCGATAGACATGTTTAATCATCTGACTCGCTTACCCTTATCACCCCAATCCTTCTCGAAGCCATTTTTCAACTGTCACCAGTTTTCACAGCAAATTCCCACATTTTTTATAAAACACATGTCCCAATACTGCCTTAAAATCGTCCACTCCCATCAATTTCAGTTCGCTAAATCAGTTAATGTCCTAAAAATTTTAATTTTAAACTTGGAATATTTGAGAAATACTGCTCAAAATAATAAATACTACTGGTGCTGCTTTCAAAATTTGCAGTTTTTCTGGAAGTTTTTGCAGCGGTAAACCACTAACAACTATCAGAAACCAAATATACATTAGCATGAAAAACAATGAGTAAACTTATGCAAAATTCTGCTCAGCAAACATTTTCTTCAGGTAACTTTTTTAGGCAAAAACCAAAAATCTAGGAGCACCTATAACAACAAGTTTCCTTAATTTGGTTGCTTATCAAGTGGCCAACGGCATGGAATACCTAGCAAGAAAAAAGGTAACACATT